CTTTCTGCCCTCCCTAGTGTGCCTGGCAAACAGCAAGCCTGTGTGAGCTGTAGTGTGTGTGTGAGTGCGTGCCCATGTGGTGCCACAGTAGGGACCAGTGCCAGATAAATTGAACCCACTCGTGACCTTGACCATCACGCTCTGGTTTTTATATCTGTTTTAAACGCATGCTAGCCACATTATCACACTATCACAATATCACACATACACACACACACACACACACACACACACACACACTATCTTTCGCTGATACACACATCACAAACCTTTCCAAGACTTACAGTTTACACCAGTTAGTGCTTGAATCCACACATTCTAGCACACATACACTTTCTGTCACAAGCTTCAGGGCTGCAGTTTAGTGTATGTAGCTGCTCACTCACTCACTCAGAGACACACACACACACACACACACACACACACACACACACACACACTGTCTCACCATGGCAACAGTGGAGCAACACAGGGAAACAACTTGGCAGAGTCAGGCGCTTGCTGTGAGAAAGTGTCGAGTTACGGCAGAGGACTGGAGCTGAGGAAAGTGAGAGGTGAGGACAGGGACGGAGAGGAGAGAGGGACAAAGGGAAAAGAAGCGGGACAAGGGGTAGAAGAGATGAAAACTAGTTAAAAAAGGAAAGACGATGATAGGAAGAAAGGAGGAAACAAACCGAAAAAGAATCAATTCTTGAGGGTAGCTGAAAAAAGTCAGGGAGCAGGTGATGATCTCCCTCTTTTCTGTGACCAATTAAACAATCCAAGTCATTGAGCCCAAATTAGGTCTTAATATTCCTGTCCTTTTCATATTTTGAACTTAAGGTTAAACACTTATGTTTATGTATGCCTGAGTGTCATTTACGTGCGTATGCGGTGATTGGAGATGTTTTCCCCTCTGCTTGCTAGCCTTATTACTGGATCAGTGGAACAGATGAAGGCCAAAAATAAATGGGGACTTTATTTAGGGGGAGCTGAGTATGAAACAGTATCCAGCTGTTTTATTTTAGGGGAGAGGGTTCATCCTAAACTTGATCCCAATAAGAAGCGACAGCAGCAGCGCCAGCCGTAAGTTAGTTATAGGCTCTGATAAGCACAGACCCCGGGGACATGTGACCGGGTTTAATGTCAATGTGGTTTAGTATAAGAACTGATCTCTCTCAGGCCTCAGTTGCTGATTGACCCGCTGCGCTCAGTGCAATCTGAATAGGCAAAAAGGTGAGGAGTTAAAAGTGCAGGGACCACCCTCCTGTGGTATTTCACACTCAAGCATAGATTTAGGGGGTGGTGGAGTGGTGACTCAGGAATGTGAAACAAGTCAAGTGTGTGTGTGTGTGTGTGTGTGTGTGTGTGTGTGTGTGTGTGTGTGTGTGTGTGTGTGTGTGTGTGTGTGTGTGTGTGTGTGTGTGTGTGTGTGTGTGTGTGTGTGTGTGTGTGTGTGTGTGTGTGTGTGTGTGTGTGTGTGTGTGTGTGTGTGTACTTCATGGTGGAGAAGTGTCCTACAAACAAACAATGGTATCTTCCATGTGTACTGGTCTACATGTCCCACTGTGTGTAAGAGGTGATGGCACAAACAAGCACCTACTGTGTGTTGTGTGTTTTAATGCTGTCTTAGGGATGTTTAACATAATGTTCATGTTAGAAAGCCAACAGCACCAGTCATGGAATACTATCTGTTTTGTCGATGTTTTGGTGGGGAAAGGTGCAAACAGGTGCATCCCACCTGTTCCCACGTTTCTTTTCTTATTCAGTTTCCTTCCAGAAAATATTCCTGTGAATATTTGTTTAGTTATTGATTACTTACCTTTATAAACGCAAAATGTTGTAATCATCCACATGAATAAAATTGAACTGTATCAAGTCAAAGACTAAACAGAAAATACTAGTTTTTAGTAGCTGTTGTTACTATTGCAGACTGACTGAATTAGCCTACCGTGTGGCTTGTTTCTGTTGGCCAGGGGCTTTGATTCACTGGGACTACTGAAGTGAGCCCTTCTTTCTGACCCTCTAATCAGGTTTTCCTGGTCAATTATTGGATTTAGAAAGACCTTCTGGCCTGCTAAGTGTATGTTTGTCAACACTGTGGTTCAACACCATATCCCTCATGTTCAGAGACAGAGGGATAGAGAAAATACAAAGGACAGACAAGCAGAGATGAAGAGATGGTGAATGGAGGGAAAGGAATTGTTTTGTTCATGGGGAAACAGTTTGTTGTGCTTGACAAAGTGTGGGGGGTGGGACTATCAGGAAGTTTTTCTAAAACTATGTTTTAAACACCGTAAGGTTGCTGTTTAACATGTGCTTGAAGAGAAAACTCCAGTACTAAAAAATCAAATTCTTATTATTTTTTCTACGTTTTTTAATATTTTTATTCCAGTGTTTTTTGTGGTGCTGTTATTTACATCTGTGACATAATTTAAAAAAAATATATTTTTTAATCTGTATATCTTTCTTCATAGATACATTCCTCCAGACACTTTTAACACATTTGATGCTGTCTGGAACACACATGGTGCTGGAAATAAACATGCCCTGATTTATGGACACATGCACATGTGCGCGCACACACACACACACACACACACGCACACACACACACACACACACACACACACACACACACACACACACACACACACACACACACACACACACACACACACACTTCGTTACACTCAGCAAAGTACACAACATGCACACACACAGACAAATGCTCACAAATACACATGTGCAAGCACTGCCTGTCTGTCCTCACTTCCACAGTGTGCAGACATGATCATAAAACCAGCAACACAAGCCACAAGACTGTTGATCCCTGTGACTCCATGTTTCTTTGAATCAGGAATAATGATGTCATTTATTGCCATGGACCCATTCAGACCGGAATGCATAATTACCTGTTAGCTTGTTACTGGCAAGATTTATACTTTCATGTGGCTTTTGAGATCCTATGTGGTTTTCAAAGATGAACCCATTACTTGTTATTAAAGGGGCCTTGTGCTGCTCCTTGGTGCAACTTCCTTCCGAATACATTTCACATCCCACATAAAGTAGTACTGCGCATTGGTTGGGAAGCTTCCAGTATACTATGTATATGCCTTAGCTGTGTCAAAGTTCACTGCAGCACCTTTTGCACTACACCAAACTACAGCAGTCGAGTTTACTGGTATGTAGGAAGGACAAACACCAAAAATCAACACAAGTTACTCATCTGTTTACTCATTCCAAATCAGACAAGCCTCCATCACTGAGCAGTTTAAACACGGAGGATGTGGTAAAGGAGTAACAACATACCTTAGGGTGGGGAGTTTTTGCTATGACACAACGCTGCAGGGTTGGAAATTATATATGCTGAAAGTAACAGTTGTCAAGATAATCAATGATTTATTAGTATAAAAATGAACTTTCCCTATTTGCATGATTTTACATGACACGAAGAACTACTTATAATACAGCAATTCTTTTCAAAGTTTTTTTTGTGAAGTAGAAGTGGGAGAGATATTTTAAGAGTTCAAATGTTTATGGTCATGGTACTGGCTGTTTTAAGATTGTTCAGACAAACACAATATTAAAGAACAAATATGAGTAAAAAGGGTGTAGTAACAAGCGCTACAGAAAGAGAGGGAGACACGGAAAGCTGGACTTTAGGTAATTAGCTTCAGAGAAATTAAGTCAATATTTTGAAACCAAGCATGCCTTTTCTTTGGAGGTGCTTGCTCACAGTGTTCATCAGGTACATTTCCAGGGCCTTATTGTGACCAGTTGAACTCTTTTTATTTTAGCTGGTTTTGGAACAGTCCTACGGCACCCACTTTCTCTCCTTCCATGGACCCCGCCCTACATTTGTACCAAACATTAACACAGCAGTGTGTGGTGCAAATCTGCATGCAGGAAAGGGTCAGAAACCATCTGTGGCAGGGTTGAGGTTTGGCAGTTCCTGGGGTGAAACAGCAATGAATGGTCTTGTTCTTCTCTGTTCCCCTCAATGGGCTGCCCTTCATATGAGCTGGAGGTGTGGACTGGAAGAGCAGTTCAGTTGGAGCGTGTATGTGAGAGGGGGGGTGCCATCTTGTCGTCACGCAGTCTGCCAAGCACAACATTACAACAGTAGTGGCATTGTGGGGCCTGTGTGTTTGTTCCGTCCCTCTTAGGAGGAAAGGTGTTGCTCTCCTTCCATCTCCTTTTTTTGTCTTTTCTTGACACACAACACTTTTTGTTGAGAGAACGTCTCACCTGGCTGTGTAGAAATCAGGCGGTCAGCAGTACTATGGGACTAATTCTGGGGGCAGCTGGCATTCATGAACAGCTGGATTCAAAATGTTTTTGACAATTTAACTAGCAGTTTTTCCACTTTAAACCAGAGTGTAACCATAAAAATACCCTTTTTATGCCTTCGTTCACACATAATAACTTGAATGTTTGTGAATATGCTATTTTATAAGTACATGTTAAATTTGATGTATAAACTCTGTTAATTTTAGACTTCTATGGTTTAATGTATTGACTAAGATGCATACATTATGTGTATTTTTTTCTTAACTGAAGTTAGCTTTTGAGTCAGCACATTTGTCAGCTATTTGTTCCTGTTATAACCACTGAAAGTCAATTCAGTGCTACTTTTTTTTTAAATGCTTTCCATAGCCGTTGCTGTAGATGCGTACAACTAGTATCTGGTCTTAAAAGGATTGACCAGGTGAAGTTTGAGGTTCATGTAAGAATTATGGAGGTAACAGTATGAATCATGTAAAAGTGCAGGCGTGCAAGGGAAAAAAAACATGAGACCAAGGCTGAGAACATCAAGTCAAACTAGAGTGAAGCCAAAACTGCCGATGAATCTCCAGTGGCCCTGCCAGAAAAATCACAACCTCCTTGACCTGACATTTAGATTCCCTCCAAAAAAAGGTGGCCAGAAGGCTGTGGAAATGAAAAGACTATGTCTTTGTTCACACCTGTCATCGAACTCACATCTGTTTTTATTCTGTGTTTCTTTTGTCATGTCTCAGCTCATTGGCTACAGCGAGAAGCCTGTCAACCTGCAGATGTTCATTGGAACGGCAGATGACCGCTACCTGAGGCCGCACGCCTTCTACCAGGTGCACCGGATCACCGGGAAAACCGTAGCTACAGCCAGCCAAGAAATCATCGTTTCCAGCTCCAAAGTTCTTGAAATTCCTCTCCTGCCTGAGAACAACATGACAGCCAGGTAAGTGTCAGAAGCACTGCAGTCGTAAATTAATAATTTTTTGAGAGTATCTCCATGAAGACATTCCTAAATGATAAACAAAATGATTTTTTAAAAATCTTCATACACGGTTTTTATTTCTTTCAAAGCAGATTACTTGATTCAAATGAATAGAGTTTGACACAGAGGGGATTTTAGGGTTTCCCAATAAGCAGTGAAATAAACTTTATTAGGATATTTATGATTCTACATTACTCGTATGACTATTTTAATACAGGGTCTGGTTTCATTTACATTGGAATTTATAGGAAGGCATTTGGTTGGGGTTTTCTCATTTACAGTTGTAATAAATCAAATTTACAGACAGTTTTATTTTGTGATTCAACACTTATTTCTCTTCTCATTGCCAATCCCCTGCTGGGCATGTGGTTGGTTTTATCACTCCCGGACCTTCACTACTAAAATGTGCCGTAGGTGATTGCCATCCCTGTGGTGCCTCATGGGGCTAAATATTTTCCCTCCTTCTTGCAGTATCGACTGTGCTGGCATCCTTAAGCTGCGGAACTCCGACATTGAGCTGCGAAAGGGGGAGACGGATATTGGAAGAAAGAACACACGAGTCCGTGTGGTGTTCAGGGTGCACATCCCTCAACCTAACGGGAAGGTGCTGTCACTGCAGGCTTCCTCTATTCCTGTGGAGTGCTGTGAGTGTCAATTTCCCAGACTTGCATACACATGCACAGTCAGCAAAAATACTCATTCAGGAAAGAAGACACACAGACAAGCACACGCTCAAAAACTCAAACTCAAAGACTTATCTGTCTAACCAAGTGTGGAGTGGGACAATCAAGGATGTTGAATTAGAATATAACATTTAATGGATGTTCCCTTACAGGAGTTCTACATCATTATCACTGATTGCTTGAGGCATTTGATACAAATCTGTGGTCATTTGTCATGTTCTATTCTTTATTGGACTGGTTAAAAATCAAATGTGTTCCTGTGACTTTTCCTGTTTATACTGTTGTTTATACTCTTTCTTATTCCTTGGTCCACACAAAGTGTAGTGTAAAGGAACAAATCTCAGTAAATAATCCTCCTCTTTATTCCTCAACCCCTCGCTGTGTCTCTCCCAGCCCAGCGTTCAGCTCAAGAGCTGCCCCAGGTGGAGAAATCCAGCCTGACCAGCTGTCTGGTCAGTGGGGGAGAAGAGATGGTCATCACTGGCTCCAACTTCTTCCCAGAGTCCAAGGTCATCTTCCTGGAGAAAGGCCCTGGTATGTGGAATGTTTGCACAGCAGCTCACCACTGCAAAAACAGCTTGTGTCAATTATATTTTTAAATAATCATGTTTAATTGTTGCCTGTTCTGTTTGATCAGAGGGCCACCTATTTTGTAGGTGTCATTGATATAATATTTTTTTACTCTGCAAAAGGTTATGACAATTTTATAGGAGTCATGGTTGATACATCTGTGAAAAGATGTGTTTCTCTTTATGTGTATTTTAGAGTAAATGTAATAAATGTTTATTTATATATCACATTAAAAAACATCCTCAGTTGATCAAAGTGCTGAGACCAAAGTTCTACTCAGAAGATGCAGCAATAATAGATTTGAGGAAGATTTTTTCTCAACATTTCTTCCCAAAGTCTAATATTCCTGTGGTTTACAGACGCACAACAATGAAGTTTACTTTTATGATCCACTCAAGTTTGGCTTGAATAAATATAAATAAATCATACATCACTGCAGCCTCCACTTACTAGCGCATCCTTTAGAAAGAGAGTAGATCTGGATGAAAGTAGAATGACAGTGCTCTAACGACGCTCCACCGCCATTATGTCTTTGTGCATTTAAATTGAATCCTTAACTGTGTTATATACAGAAGTGTACCAGTCTGTGATTCCATATTGTGTTATGGCCTTGTGAAAGCACAATGTTTAGAGAAGCAATGGGAGCTGCACACGCACACGCACACGCACACGCACACACACCTCTATAACTACCTCCAATGGCAGTACAGAGATGGAGTGATTGCTTCGTCCCCATAATTATGCCTCTGTGACATTGGAAGTGAAGGTGGGACGTCAAAGGGGGGAGAAAATGTCATGCCTTGAACGGCAGTCTGAATAGGGCTTGAGTCTCTGGTTCCTAAAATTTGAGAATATAAAAGATGTTTTATGTAATCAGTAACATGCTGTATGAATAATTCCCTGAGCTTTTCAGCTTATTTCTCTCAAGTCACTCTTCAGTGTGCAAGGTTTCTGGGTGTTTTATTGGACAACCTGTATTCTGCCTTATCTTTTCTCTTTTTACACCACTGCACAATTAGGAAAACACATGTAATAGCTGGGATATCTAGGATGGAAATTTTAAATGGGTAGTATTTGTTGAGCCAGTCTCTGCCTGCCCAAGAGACCTTTGTCTTGGAAGAGCAACAAAATCAAGTTCACACATGACAGAAAGTTGAGCAGTGTTGTTTTTGCAAGGGAGAACCATTCTCTCTTAGATTCTCTCAGGGCAAAATAAGCCGCCTGGAGGAATGTCTTTAGTGTTTTAAAGGTGTACCAGGTGAAGCATGTCATGGAACAGTAGCATGGCTAAAACAACTCACTGATGGTCAAGCAAGTGAAAACCTCAGAGAGGTGCATGTTGGGTAGGGAGGAAAGCTGGGCCCCATGGTGCAGGGCGGCAGCCGACTGTGGAAAGAGACAGAGAGAATAAGAAAGAGGAATGGAAGATAATGCTGATTAGGTTTTTGTAAATTGTCCCCCTCATCATGTCTAATCCTCCCACTTTAGTGCAGAAAGACACTGATTGGAGTTAGTATAGGAATGGAAAGAAAGAAAGAAGTGGAGGCAGTGACAGACATTTTTCCACCATCTCTTATAATTGAGACTAATTGAAGACAACAGTAAGCTGATAAAGAACTGCAGAGAATGACCTATTGTTGCCTGTGGAGATTATTGAGTCATACTATAAATTACTTTACCGTATGCAGCATTTGTTCATGTAAGATCTAAATGTTTAGGTTTGTTATTTATCAGTCTGCAGAGCTTTCTTTCTTTCTTTTTTTTTTTTTTTTACTTCTTTAATGGAACCTCTCCCCAAGTCTTCTTATTCTGCTTTCAGTAGAGATCTTATTCTTTTATAAATATTTGTGCAAAAAAAAACAAAAACAGATAACTGATACAGCATGTTTACTCCACCAGGTTGTTTCTGCTTTCAAAGCCAAACAGCTGCTTGCTTTTACAAAGAGAGTGCAACATAAACAGTAATCACCTTTATTATTTCTGTTCCATCTTCCAGCACAGCGGGTGCATGTTTTATTCCCCTCTGACTTGGTGTCTGGAGGATGGGAGTCATTGTCTAAGCGTGGTATGATGTTCCTGTTGGTGCTTGTTGTCTGACAGAGCATGTGGGGCCCTTGCTTCTGCCTGTTGAATGTCAACAAGCTGCACTGCAATAATGCACTGCTGTCAGCTGAAAAGACATTCAAGGTCATTTGTTCATTGGAAAAAAAAAAAAAGTCTTTGTCTACAAGTTCAGCTCTGCCTTCATAGTTTATCGTAATGACTTGTTAATGTGCCATGGGATTATTACACATAAGGCTAATGTTGTGGAGAGATCTGAAAGGGTAAATCACCGGCTTAAAGCCACAGAAGACTTTGAATTCTGGTAGAAAGCTGAATAAGCTTAAAGGTACCAGGCTTACAGTTGAGTGCTTACTTTGAATATAGGTTTGCCCTCTCTGCAGATCTGTTGCAGATGCCTGAAGCGGTATTTGGGGAAACCCTTTTAGGTTTCAAGGAAGATGTCAGCAGGTGCAGACTGTGCACCACCATGTAAACACTTTGAAGGAGTCTGCAGTGCTAACTTTTTTGTTGCCAAAGTTTTTATTCTGTTGCCGCAGTGATGACTTATGATTCCATCCATCCACACTTCAAGTCTGTCAGTGTTTTCACCTTGACTTCTTCCCTCCAAGCCTCTCCCTTTAAGATGTCTGGCCAAATAATTAGATCCCTCAAAGGAAAACAGGAAAGGATGTTTTGTCGCCAGAAATCTGCCAGTGCGTAAAAGCATTTTTTAAGGAATACTGTTATTCCACCGCTCTCTCCATAAGTTGGACCAGACAAAACAAAGAGGAAGGATATTTGGACATTTGATTACTATTTAATAGCCACTAAGACATTCTCCATGGGGCGTTTTGACCTCTAAAAAGGACCTCCCTTTGATGTCTCTTGGTTCTGCAGAACAAGTTGAAATCCTGTGCGTTTCTGAAGCCTCATTTGGTTCTTACCCTGTCAGTTTGAAAAAGCACTGAACACTGACCTCATCCTCAATATAATAGGAAAAAGAAAAAGAGAAGTTCTCCAGATGAGGAAGATTTATTTGAAAAATATCACAAACTATACTTCAGAAGGGGACTCACTTATACAGATATAGTTATTAATGAGTGTGCGGCTTGGCTTTGTTACAGTATATACCCATTTCAATTATATTTATTTTTATTTCCACTAGATTCATTGTTCCTATGTCTACTTTAACTGTTGTTTAACTCTGCAGTGGAATGATAGCATTTCAAAAAAGGTTTATTCAGGCTGTCACTTCAAAGCACATGATTTACGCCTCTGAGGCATTTAGTCTTCACTATGAATGTGATGGAGGTATAATGGGGGGGATGAAGTGATGCCCTCTCTGTGCTGCTATCAGCCCCCAAATAAATGTCCCCCTCCCCCTCCCTCTAGATGGGCGACCGCAATGGGAAGTGGAAGCAAAAATCATTCGTGAGAAATCACAAGGAGTAAGTACTCATTTATTAAATTGTACAGTTGTTCCTCTCCATTCTGTCTGTATTATTGCACTTCATTAAACTTTTGTGAACTGATTTTTGCATTTAATGGTATGCTAATGGTATTGTGTTTTTTCTACGATAGCTGGGTGTAAATAATGTTGAATGTTTTTTGTTTATTTTCTAGTCATGCATTGTGGTGGAGGTTCCTCCCTACCACAGTAAAACGGTGGGCTCAGCTGCACAGGTGCAGTTTTATGTCTGCAATGGCAAGCGGAAAAGGAGCCAGTCACAACGCTTCACTTACCTTTCAGGTGAGGCGAGAGGTTTTTAGGACTTTTAGAGGAACTTTATAAGGAATTGTTGACCGTCAGCTCATTCATTTATTCCTAAACATTTCAACTAGTAGCTTAGAAAACAAACTCGCTTCAATATTTCAGATCATATGAAATGTTCTGGTAGCTATGGTTACTATCATTAACACAAAAAGAGTCTCTCAGGGTTTACTTTGAAGAAGTGAGACCGGCATCAGTGACAGTTGCTACATGATCTTTGTGTTGCACACTCCTCCAATGGGGCTTCACTGACCCCTTTTCTCTTTTTCTCTCTCCAAAGAAAGCCTCACTGTGGTATGGAGGGGGGTCTTCCACTGACATTAACCTTAACACCTGCCAACTGTTAGTTTTCTAAGCCTAACTAAAACTCCCTTGACAACCTTTTTGTCTCTAATGCGTGAGATTTTCTGATGCAGATCTTTTGTGGTCCAGGAAACTTTTATATACAATTAGTAGACTTAATTTGTGGTTTAATATAATTATCCAAGCATTAAGGATACTGACTGTTCATACTATTTTGATCTCAAAGTTTTCTTAATGTCTTTATGAAAGTCAAATTCCTTCCTTGCTATTTGATATTGTTATTGTTTATTTCCCTCTTGAAGTCAGTCAGACTGAAAGCCCTGCTTGCAAAATATATTGACATGTGAGCATTTGGTGCAGCATATCTAAACCCTGAGTTTTACCACAACAGTGTGTTATTTGTGCGTGTGTGTACGCATAAAGCAGCATTGCCCATCCACCCACCCACCCTTATTGTTTGCAAGCTCGCCCACTCCACACAGACAGTTCCTGTTTTCACCGTTCACACATCAGGGCGGCCAATGAAAGCAGAGTAGAGTAACGCTGCTCTTTCAGGGAAGCTGGGTTTTTGACAGCGCCAGTGTCACCACAGACGATGGCTGCTTTCTTTATTGTGGCAAAAAATAAAGATGGTTTATTGTGGGCTGGGTTGCAGAAGGCTTGGCCTAATTAAGGGAAAGAAGTCTCTGGATAAAAGTATGTTTTTATTGAAACTTTCCTGAGAAAATTACTCTGGCTCGATTTGAAGCCGCATTAAGGTTGGGTAAAATATGAAAACAAGCTGAACCTGTTTCTACTCCATCTTAAATATACTGTCCTTTACCCTTCCCCTTACCTTCATATCTTTTTGGCTCTATTTTAAGCCAAAGTAAACCCCGTTTGGCCTTTTCATGCCCCTTGCCTCTCAATCCCAGAGGCAGAGAGGGGTGAGTGGAGGGCACGATCATTGAACTCTTTTGTTCTGCTGTCTGATCTGGGCTGGGGGGCATTCAGCTCCTCTTCCCACACAGCATTTCACATGATGGCACCCGAAATGACAACATATGCTCTCCCTCTGATTCAGAGCTGGATAAAAATAAAACTCACTGTCACAAGCCACCAGATTGGGAAATAGGTTACTGGTTGGCAAAGCAGCACTGTGAGCTGTCACAGTAAAAGCGGATGGCCTCATTTACTATCAAAATGTCTATCAGTCTGTGGCGTTTTTCATCTGGAAGGAGCCCCCATTTCACAATCCATACATTACAGAGACTATGTTTACTGCTTGAGATTCTTCTGACCTAGTTTTGCAGCTAGAACGGTTGAAACATATTTCAACATAAAATCCGAACACTGAGAGAGTTCATCTGTGGGGTTAAAAATACAACAAATTATGTTGAACAACTACTTAAATTGTTAAAGTGTCTTGATGTTACTACTCTACTGTGACTTAAGCAAAAAATAGCAGTGACTTGACAATTTTAAAGGTAACGTGTCTGGTCTTACTCTAAGCAGCATTTGATTGATAGACCTCACTGACAATGTGTTTTCTCTCTTTCATCCTGTCTGTCTTTCCTCTTTCATCATATGTCTCTTCCTCCCTCTCTTTTTGTTCCTCTCTCTCTGTAGTCATGGTGAAACAGGAGAATAGAGATGAGCTGGACCTTCCTGCAGTACCCCCTATATCCATGCCCCTGGCACATGCTGCCAGTTTGGTGCGCACCCAGCTGCCTTCTCCTGAGCAGGGCCACCCATCGGAAAACCTTCTGTCAAGCTCCCCTCGCAGTCTGGCCACAGGCTCCGGACCTGGCCTGCTACCCCTACAGGCCCCCTGCCCCTCTCTGGGCTCCCCGTCTTTCCAGCACCTGCCTCACCTCCAGGGGCGCAGTTTGCACCACCCTCCCGCAGACTGCCACATGACGTTCCACCCGAGCTCTGCTCCTCCGCGGACCTCCTACCAGCCTATGCAGCACAGCCACAGTCACGGTCACAGCCTGCCCTTCAACGGCCAGTCCAGCCTGCCTCCTCAGGGTTATGAACGGATGCCCTTTCAGCACAGCCCCAGTGCAGCACCCCACCAAATGGGCATGGGGATGGTGTACCCTTCCTCTCCTTGTTCTTCACCATCAACACCCTCCTCTTCCACCAACCCCATAGCTGGGTCTCCCCAGAGCCAACAACCCCTGCTCACTCCTTCATCCCCTCACCTCCACACACTCGGAGGCTATCACCCGAACCCTACCCAGGTGCCCTCTTCAGGTGGCCATCCACTCATGGGGCAGCACTCCTCTCAACTGCAAAGGGCCATGGGATACCATCCCGTTGGTCAAAGGTCAGCATCCTGTCCCACAACGTCCAGTGCCCCACCACCGCCACAAATGATTCCCTCGCATCACTCTGGGCCTTCCTCCCCTCAGCTGCACTCACTGCCCTACCAGTCTCCCACCTCATCCTCCCCCACCTCAGGAGGCAGTCCTCTGGGTCCCCCCCAACAGCACCATTCAGGACAGCTTTCACCCCAGGCTACAAGCCCGGTCATGGCCAGCCTGTCACCGGCTGCAGCAGGGTCACTGGTTCACCCTCTTAGCCCACAGGTGCCCTTCCCATCAGACGGGGAGAGGCTGAACATCAAACAAGAGCCCGAGGAGAAGGAGCCCACCTTCCGCTCAATTGGCCTGCAGGACATCACGCTGGATGATGGTAAGCTATTCATATACTTTATTGATCTGGTGTCCACAAAATCAGATCTTGATATGTCACAAAGAAAGGCACAGGATTATGAAAAAATAGCTTCACATGAAACTCACTGAGCTATTCATCCAGAAAAGCCAGTGGCATCAGAAATAGACACATTTGGTTGTAAGCACTTTAAAACTGTTTGAAGAACATAAAAGAGAAGCTGGCCCAAAGACCAAGACTACTATTGGACACCCATCCTCCCTACTTTGACTCAAACAATCACCCTTTATTTATAAAGCACTTTTCATACAATAATGTAGAACAAAGTGCTTTACAAAAATCAAATCAAAAAGTAACAATATGACCTCCTCCCACCCCTAGACACCCCCCCAGCCCTAACCGAGCACCACAATCCATGCACATAGGGAAAAAGAACTAGATAAAAACAGGTACAGACAGACTGAGGAATAATAACATAAAGGAAATAGATAAGCTAATAAAACAAAATACAATATGTAACACTAAAAGACAATTCAATGTATAAAAAAAAATGCTGAAAGCAAATCTATGGAATAAAATATTGTTAAGTAAATAAGTTAATAAAACACTAAAAGCTAAACTGGAAAATAAAATAGAAAAACTAAGATTAGATGTAAATCAATAAAACAGAATAAGACTACACTTTTGTAAAATGTCTTTTTGTTTTGAATCAAATAGAAACAAGATGATCGATTGATTGATATAAAATATGTAAAAATATATATATATATAATTTAAAAATATGTATATATTAAATATATTTATAAATAAATACAACTACATGTGATAAAATGAAATTCTGTTTAAAGCCAGACTCAAGAGGTAAAAAAGGACTATGTCTGTCTGTTTAACCATGTGTGTCTTGTTTTTGCTCTGACTCTCATTTTCCAGCTTTCTGTCTGTCCAATCTTCTCTCATTATCACATTTTCTTTCTCAGTCTGTCTTTTCACACGAGATATTTGTGTAGCACAGCCATCTGTGATGAGGTTCTGATGCAGCTGATGAAGTAAAACAGCTGAAGCACTGCTTATATTTTCATGGGGCTGCCTGAAACCTTGATGCCTGATAATGGTGATAACGTTTCAGAGCATGCTGTAGTGTGAGCAGGATGATTTCTGAGGGGTCCTGTGGCTTTAGTATTGTGTTACATAGACATAGTAGGACTGATAACTGTAGTATCGTATTATAGAGCCTAATTGCAAACACTCAGCTTATTTAAATCCAGCAGCAGTTTGGAGATTAATTACAACCTGTATTTTTTGGCCTCTTGGAACTAGGGAGGGGATTGCATCATTTTGAGCCTCTACTAAAGGCTATAGCTGGAAAACAAAAACTGCAGTTATGTGCTGCTGCAGTAATTACATCCTGTGTGTATTTGTGCGTATGAGAGCGGGTGTGTGTTAACAGCCCTAATTTGCATGCTCATGAGACTTGTTGACTTAACAATTGACTAGCGAAGTCAGCACATGCATATAGCAGCTTTTTTCTCTCTCATTCATAAACACTACTTCCTTATCTATAATGAGTGTGTCCAAACTGTTCTAAATCATCAACGTCCTTATCTGGATTGCTTGGTTTTGTTAACTCCAGCACCATATTCAAATGAGGATCCTTAAGGTTTAGGGTTAATAAGTAGCCCGGTGAGGCTGTGTCAGGGAGGTGTGATATTGTATGCTAGCAAGGGTCAGCCTAATTAACACAGGGCTATTGTCAATAAGTGATGTGTGAAAGACCAGCAACCACAGAGGTACATCAGTTCATAATACTTATGCGTACACACATGCTGACAAGCAATCAAACGATTGTTATCTGTGTACAACAGCCTTGATGTATTAGCTTTCCTTTCTCTCCTCTTTTCAGGCAAGTGTGTGGTTACATCTTTGCACTCGTGAAATCTGTATACTCACAATGTTACTGAGACACACACACACACAGCCTCTAAAAACTAGCTGGCCACACTCGAACTCTTGTGTGAGAAAAGAGTGAGAAAAGTTTGTGAGTGACACAGTTCAGCCGTGAATGTAAGCTTTCCCTTTGAGCCTGTGGCTAAAAATAGCTTTCTGTGCCAGCCCAGCTCTGTAGGCCATGGTTTGGAGTAGCAACATGAGACTTCAAACTACATCTCTGAGTTTTAGAAGGTCGCGGCACACTCTCTGAAGTAGTCCATTTTCAATTAAGTTTGACAGGCAGAGATGAGGCACAAACGCAAAATAAACGCATAAATGTGTGTAGATGTTGTACATAAAGACAGAATGCACATGTAATGCAAAAACACTCAAAAGCATATACATAAATGTGAACGTGTTTGCTCTTTGAAAAAAGCTTTCATATAATCCAGAATTATTCATTAAAATACATTTGACCCATGTGGTTGTCTACATGATCAATGTAGTGAGAATAGGGGGAAACAAGACTGCACACTGTTAGGTTAAAGTCACAATAAACATGAATGAGGTTGCATCCTTTTGACTTGATGATTCCCCCCCCCCCCTTCTCCGTCGTTTTCTGTTAATCTCTCACATTTAAACTTCCCAGATAAACAAACAAACAAGTCGTTAGTAAAACATTTTGTGTTTTTTGAAATTGTCCCTTTATAATTTGTCTTCCTCCTTCAAAAGCCGAGATTAAGTCATTATTGTTGCAGATTTGTGTCAGCGGCATGAGAGGGAATATGAATGCGATTGTGTAGAAAACTGCTCCGGTTAGCAAACAGATGGCCCTTGTGACGCACACCAGAGCATGCTCGAGATGTGTATGTGTTTGTGTGTTAGATGAGATATTGTGTTCGTGTGTATCTGTTTGATGTTGTGGAGGTGTAAGTGCACTTGGGGTTTGTGTGTATGCTAGGCAGGAGACACAGGAGGTGAGAAGACAGACTGACAGACAGATGGACAGACAAGGTCAGGATCCAAGCCCACTGCAGGGTCACTCAGCCGAGACATTCAATCTGAAATGTACTTGGCATCTCAGATCTAGTAAAGGAATACTGGATAGTGTTGTGCTTTGTGGGCTGTAGATTTAAGATCGTCTGACATTTAAAATATATATATTAAGAGTTATGTTAGTTTGAAAATGGCTTCTTTGAAACAATAGAAAAACATCAAAGCTTTATGTTCTTAAGGTTTTTATTTTTATGAGGTGTTACATGAAAAGATGCTAAAAAAGACAAGGACCTGGATAAGCAACGCACAAAGTTTTTAAAGCATTTCTACGGCTTTGATGTCAGTGATGAAAAGAAAAGCACAAAGTAGGGTGCCACCATTGTGAAATTCTAAGACAAGTCTTTAGCTGTTTTCCACATTCAGCATGGAGACCATGTGATTTCTCTACCTGGACACACACAAAGACAGGTACAGATGACTGATGGATTTAGAATAGTTGTACTGTATTTCTACTTACACCAGTGTTACTGTTAGCTAGGGTTGCCAAAGCCTTGTAAACTTGAGTTTGATTTGTTACTCGTATATACAGGAGTTGAATGAAGTGGGCCCTCCTCTGATGAGGATTACAGCTGTCATGGTGACTGAATCTTTGTGCTGCTGAACTGTGCATTTAACAAATTGATCAGCTTGTGATAATCTCTCTGTTGACAGAGCACACATGGGAAGAGATAACACTTTTGTGTTTGTTCATGTGTGTTGGTCAACAGTAACGATGGTGTCCATATGGTGCCTAGTTTGTGGTCACAACAAAAGCCGGTCTTTTTGTTGGACCTGCCCACATTCACGGCTGCCTCAAATTGCTTGCACGTCTTTGAGGGTTAATAAAAGGCTGAGCCCTGCTGCCTACACCACTAAGAGAGACACAGACACAGAAATGACACAACACAGTTAGCGACACATTATCCTGAAAATGTAATCGAATGAAAGAGTCAGTGTCTGAGCAGTAAAACATCTGTCAACAATGTTTTAACCCAAACTTTGCACGAGCACAGACTATATACAGTAGTCTAATATATAGTATCTCTAATATACAGAGAAAATATTAAAGAGCTGTTGATATAAAAGTTGTGCTTGCAGGTATTTTGGAGCATAATAGTGAATCACATATTAATTATAATTCAAAAATGTTGTCCAATTTATTATTAGATTTTCAACATTATTATAAGTCAGAGACATGCACACATGTAACAATGCATTTGCCTGACAATGCATCTGAATAAAAAGTTAAAATTAGCAAGACTTTAGTTATGTGCATGGCTACTTTTTCGGAGGGAAGCAGACAGTCATGGCATGAAATGTCCTTTGGTTGCCTGGCAATTTCTCTCACACAAGAAAAGACAAGCAGCTAAGTACTGTAAATCCCAAACTTGTTTGAGCTAGTTAGCTTGTATGACATTACAGCACTAGAAACAAGAGAGATGTAACTTAAATTAGTAAGCTCAAGAGGGGCTTGACTCTTTGCCTTATATTTGATGACAGATATGAGAGTGGTATTGCTCTTCTCATGTGACTCTGGGCAAGAGAGTGTGTCGGTCTATTGCTTGAACAGTAGTTCTTTGTAATACAAAAAACCCTGGTCAGTACTGCCAATCCCACTGAGAAACAACAGCAGGATCCAAGTGTTCTCCGTTTAAAGGGCCCTTCAGCTCATGGGCAGCTGTTCTCAGCCAACAGCACAACAAGTGATTGGAAAGGCTAATATCTAGAAATCAAAAAAAGACTTGGATATTTTGCTCTAGCTGACCACACCATGTGGAAAAACACTAGTAAATATTGGAGTTTCATTTGACAGGTGGCCAAAAATACTTTCTCCGGTTTAATCCCAAACAGAATAAGATTAGAATATGATCTTTTGGTTTTCTGGCTACACACTGACATTATTTTGAGTCTAATTTTTGTTTTGGAAGGCTTAAAAAAAATATAATATGAACCTGGATACTGTTATTTTGTAAAAGTCCACCTGCCTTATTTATCAAGTCATCCAGTACATCATCACACAGACCATCAACCACCATTCAACAACAGTAAATGCAAAGTCA